TATGATTAGCATTGTTCTATCGCAAAAGGCCCTGATTTCAGGACTCGTAATAAGAAATAATCCACGATTGGAACGGTTCCGTATTTTGAGACGCTATCAGTTCGACAGAAATGTTTTCGGGCCAAGAGTTGTTACAGTGGATGGCAATAAGATGTTGGACAAAGAGAGCATGGACGGTCTACGGTATCTCTGCCCATACTGTGATATCTTCAAGTGGTCGAGTAAGTCCTTTCGAATTGATCCGAGATTCCCAAGGAGAAAAGTGGGTAGATCCTGAAGAGGAAATTATGGTCTGATTGCTGAGGAACAAAAATGCTCCAATGGAAGCTTTATTGTTGGGTTTATTGTTTCGTGGCCTTCGCCAGCACTCCACATACCTGCATGCGTTGTTCTTGAATGGAAATGCAGAAATTCAGAATCCCGAAGTTTTTCCCATGCAAATGAATATGACCTCCTTAATGTTAGGGATCCCATCGCCCATTGGAGTGGAAATTCAAAGTAGTGTAGATGAGTAGCATCAGCTGGCCCTGCTTAACCAACCTACTCAAAAGCTGTGCCCCAATGATGGCCGGCAGAGTCATTCAAATACCACGAATTTCGCCTGGCAGTTTGCCGCGTCCACCCAGGATTGGGGGAATGTGCCCACATCCGGCACATCCGGAGACGATTGTGGTAGTCGGGGCAAATGTCGCTATTGTGGAATGCTACCGTAGATAGAGTATAGGAACATTCGCCCATTTGGAGGTGTGCGCGGCAAAGCGCTTGAATGTGTATGGCGCCCTCATTGGGGCATGGTTTCAATAGAGTAGATTCGTAGGATAAATCGACCCTACTAAACTACTTTACTTCGAATTTGTAACCTAATGCTAGGCGCTGGAGTCGTTCAAATCGCCACGAATCTCGCCGCGCTCTGCGCCCCTCCAAATGGGCGAATGTTCCGTCCCCAAGTGGATGTAAGTAAAACCGCACTCCGGCAGAATTTTTCATCACTAGGTTTTTCCCTTTTGACGCAATGCCTTTTTCCTGTTCCGATGCACATGATTTTTCTTGCTGTACATTCATTGCCTTCCAGGGTGCGCTGCCCTCGAGCCGGTCTCACCTTTCCGCTATGCTCGACTTGTTAGACGGTGTCGAGGAGAAAGGCTCATCAAAGCACGACCCTACAGTCACTTCATATTCCACCTGCGTTATCTGACTTATCAGCAATTCTTAGAGCTTTTCGCTGAGGCCACTCACGTTCAATTGGGCCTCAGAATGCTCCGTGTGCCCTGGACTAGGATGGAATTCCCGAAACTCGTCCGATTAATCCCACTTATTCCAGGTATCAATTTTTACCACCAACCAATAAGATGCAATGATACTACTACGGCTGAAGTACTGCTAGGGTTCTATGGCGACGAAACGCCAAAGCAGTAAAACAATTCAGTACATAGTTCATTCTGACATTATATTTATTGGTCTCCATAACTCCCTCATCTCCTACGTTCGGTCTGATATTTCTAGAAAGAACCTTATCTCATTAAGTTGCATCTATCATTCAAGAGATGGGTATCATTGCAGAGGTTTATGCTTCTTAGAAAAAACCGTAAAACAAAATGTGGTACTTGTAATTTTAGGGGTACGCACCATCGTCGCCAGGAATAATCCGTTCTTGAGGATAATAGCCTTCCCTGTCTACCATTCTGAAGGTTTTGGGGCACTCAACTATATGGAATATGTTGAAATTGTAAGGAATCGTAATCTCAAGTATGAAATCATCTCTTGGTTGGAGCCACGTTGCAGATTCTGCTATCTTCAACCGTATGACGGTAAATGATTTACCTTTTTTTGTTTCTCAATTCTGTAATCTACCACTTTGTGTACAGAACAGGCCGATTCCACCTTACCTACAAGGCAAAATTGAGACTACTCAACTTTTCCCATAAAGACTTAAAGAGACTAGAAAAAAAGGTGGTGTTATTGGATAACGGAACATCTCCCCGATCGCGGCATTCTCCCTTGCGGCAAGCGGTAAATGTTACTGCAATTACCGTACTCACCGCGCCTCCCCGCCAATCGATAGGAGGCAATATTTTTCGTTGATTGCCTTTCTTTTTTCATTGAATTCGATCGTTTTTCTTGTTTCTTTTTCGTTTTTATGTTTATTAGACTTGATTAATTAGAATGACTCCTCCTATATAAGCGACGATCAAGACCGCATTGGAATTGGAGGGAGCGGTTAGCCAATCCAAATAATTAGAGGGCTCCCTACCTCGCAGATTGCGCGCTCCCATCTTTCATCGCAATCCTGCGATACGCGGCGGGTGCGGCGTGCGCGACGCCGTTTTTGGGAAGAAGATTACGGACCCCTCGAGAGTCTGTTTCGAGCAATGAGCTCAATTGTGATATGAGTGAATCCTTTTCATAACCACACGTACTACCTTTTTTCCATTCTGAGCTTTCAAGCCGCTGAGGTATGAATTATTTTGGTAGCGTCATAGAATTATTGAGAAAAAAGTGATATTCCTTTTTGTCGATGCCGTTGTGCTATACCAGGGACTGTGACCTATCTAATCTTCCCTATTTTTCAAACTTTTCCGTCCCTTTCCAATTGCGTCAACCCACTCGTAGTGATCACCAGCAAAAACAGAACGAACACGGCTCTTACTTTTTCAGGCATCAGATAGATTTCTTACCTCTTGTCAATGGAAAAGGGTGATAAGGTGATTTGGATAATAGTCTCGATATTTTGTAGCTTGCGCCTCTCTTGAAGTGCAGCAAACCACGAATGTTGTTGAATTTGCTCGAATGTGCTCCGGCAAGAGAGTGTGGAAGCCAATGGGAAGAGAAGTGATCGAAATCGACATCTCATCACTGGAGCAGGAGATTATCGACGAACTTTTCCGTAGCGTAACCTACATAAAAATGTGCATCATCCTTCGACAATCACAAATTCGGTATCTGCGCATGCCACATTTGATTGAGCTGTTCTCATGCGAGCCAGGTGGGTAGCAGGACTGCTTGCACTGTGCATGTTTCATACCGCTGTGATTCTAGGTCGACCAGCATTCACAATAGAAGGAAATATGTATCTTGAAGTAATTGAAGTGTCGCCAATGTTTGAATGGCAAATTAGTTATGAGCCCTTCACGATTATATACAATCCAGCGCTACGACAATATCCTCCGTTGCGCCGATGCAAGTACTGTGTGTTTGAGCCGAATACAAGTGAGTCTTGACATTAGAAATCTCAGAGGCTCTGTATGCCGCTCGTAGGCTTTTCTAGAGACTTTGAAATTGAAGTCATTGTACTGATCTGGTTCAGGATGTGGAGTGACCTGGCCGGCGCTGGCATACACCACGCTTGAGGAGATATTGCAGAACTGTATGGGAAAACCAAGAATTGTATTCACCGAAGTGGTCACCGTCACTCAGAAGCAGTTCACACAGCTTTGTTCTCAAGCCCTATATCTGCAAATGTGCTTCAATATCACTAATACCGACTACACGTCTGTTAGCTGCCCCATGTTACGAGCAGTGACGCCTTGCCGTCCAGGTATGTGATTGCCTCTTCCCACTGAACTTATCAGAGAGTATTTGAAACGCCAACGCAGTAATAGATGAGGTCAAAAAAGGCGATTTTCGAAACAGTCATCAGCAGATTAGATATGAAGGGAGGTTATGATGAACAATTTTTAGGACTACCAGTATGGACGATCGTCGGCAACTCGCAGCTCCAGACTATAGTTATTAACACTCTAGTCAGATTCCCTGTGGAAGAAAAGATCATGATTGTGAGAGAGAACCCTTTGGTTCCTAATAATGAACTTGTCATTCTGAAAGAGATATGCGAGGACTGCCTAATAGAATACGAATCAAGTATGTTTGCAGTAAATATTAGGTTGTTCGGAAAGGAATGCGCGTCGATTTTGTCCATTTATTTCTCCCCCACTATAGAAGATTTTTCAAAACAGCTCTGTCTATTGGAGAGAGATTTTCATTGCGCATCTATTGATATATTTTTGGCTATGTCTACTTTGTTTTTCTGAGGAGAAAAAACTTAAAAGGTGCTTGACCAAACATTCCTTTTGCGGGCTTGCATGTGGTACAACTTAAAGCGAGGAAAACCAGCTACTGAATCTCATCATGTCAAATCTGAAGTACACGGCGAAGAAGCCCTGTCAGAAAGCCAGTGTCGACGATGACATCAGCGTTTCAAAAACGGTAATGAAAGCTTGGAGGACGAAGAACATGGAAGTCGGCCTCAATTCG